GGGGGGGGGGGGGATAAGAGCGTAGAGAAGAAACCAGATAGATTTGCTATCAGGGTCGGAGCCCGAATTCATTTTCAGGGTGGTCTGCAAACCAAAATTGAAATAAGTTTTCACAAACCGGGGGGTCTTCTCAGAAACAGCCTCTCTACCTCCCAGACGCTACTTTTGAGTGGGATTTATTGGGTTTCTTTGGTTTATATGTCCCCGCCCCAACGTTGCAGAGCTTAGCATCGTTGATGCACTAACATCACCCTCTTTTTAAAACGCATATACTTTATATTCACTGATTAGCTATTGATATACGTTGGATTGATCAGGCATACGAGAAGAAAACTAGTCCAAAATGGCGTTATGATCTTGGTCGCAGGAGGAACTTTGAACAGGTACCATGCCCATCCCATATATTTCTGTTTCTGGCAGAAGTTTTACTTCCTCGTGTCCATGTTTCTATTTTAGTTTGTTCCAAAGTAAGTGTCCACATTTCTATTTCTATTTTAGTTTGTCATTATTGAAGCGATAATGGGAAGGAGGGAGTATTATGCTTATAACGTTATGAATCGAACGTGTGATTAGTAACTTGAAGCCCAGTTTCTAATTACCGATGTTTATTTACTGTTTTGCCCTTACGTAGACTTCACATTTGGTAGTTTCGTGGGATATAAGCGAAACAGGTTGACCCGTTGAACAGTAAAATGTTTGACTATTTGTCAAATATCTAAAAAGTAGACCCCTACAATAAATGCTAGAATAAGGGACTCGAATGAACCCAGTATATCCCACCCTGAGGCAATAAGGGACTCAATACCTATTTACGGGAAATACTCGTTTACATTTCTCTCCCTTTGTGAGGTTTGAACCCCTTACCTCCCCGAGAGTTGGGCCGTACCAGTAGCCCGGGTCCCGCTCGAGCAATGACCCATTGGTATCTTTGATTCTTTGTAACAAGTACAATGGTAAATTGGGAAAATTTCCACTGGATATAGAATTTTATCTCCATTTTGTTCTTTTTTGCACAAACCGGGGGTTCTCATGGAAACACTCGCTTTACCATTTAGGATGGAGGACAGGTCTGCATTAATCTCCCCCGTAGATCCTACTTCTTAGTGGGATATACCATGCTTTTCGGGTTTTCTTCCTTTTTTGCATTAAAATTGATTTTATTTATCCCGTTTTCACTAAGAATTTGGTGAAAAATGTCAGGTATTTGGAACAGTACAGAGGTATTGGTTTATTCCAGCTTATTGTGATGAAGATTTGCGAAAAATGCCCGCCCTTCAAGGCATCGAGTATCCATCCAAGCCGGATTTGGACGCCCAAGAATTCTAAAGCGGGAATCGAATAAACCGTTTTCTGGGTTTATAGCATCATCCCCCCGACCCCCCATCACACGACGGACTGAACAGATTGCAACAGATTTTAGGTATAGGTGTTTTTAACTTGCGTAGAAATAGCGGCTTGACTGTAAGAAAGGGGGAGGAGTTTGATGAACCGAATGTTTATTCATCGGGGTACGGTTTTTCGGCTTGGGGTGGATGGAAGTTATTGTAAGCTATATATAGGGTTTGCCAAGAAATGTACATTAGTAACGTTTTGAAGAATTGCCCACACTTAATGAACCCGCAACTTTGTGTCGGTTTTCGTTGCAAGCTGTCGTTTATTTTGGCGAATGATCTGTCGTCGTTTTGATTTTCAATTGTAAGTTTCTTATAAGCTAAGTTGTGGGCTACCAATAACTTCCACCATGGTTTTAAGTTTATTTAGAGGTGATTTGGTTAGTCAGTTTTTCGCTATGGGACGTGACGTGACAAATGTCAGGTGGTACCAGAGCCGGATCCTTGTACCATAGGGATTGTTGGGCAAACACGGTACGTCTTAACTAGTGTTATTTGCCCTTGATTGAGGATGACAATAATGAAGACCAAGATGACTTTAGTTTATCTTATAACATGTATAGGAATGATGATACTCTAAAATTTGGTTCATCACTGCACAGTTACGTACAGCATGAGATGCCATCGTCCAGTTGTTTTACAGTTAGGAATCCCTCTTTTCTCCCCAATCTATCTATCCATACGGTTTCAAACCAAAAAACCCTCAAATCATATTTGAAAGAAAAGACACGTGGAAGATTTCTTGTATCTGAGAGCACTCCACTTCTTTTTTGGGGTCAAGGGAAGGATTATATCAAAACACAAGCTTTTCTGGTACTCGTCTCTAACCAACTTTCTGAAGAAAAAAAAGATTTCAAATAACATAATAAACTTCATGATACTAAAAAATTCACTAAAACTACTGTATGAATTATAATCAAAGAGAATGAAAGAAGAAGATGATGAAATATCTTTTGTGTAGTTATGTAAGATAATTCTCGAGCAGTCTTCGACTGAAGGAGAGAGATCAGAGAACGATTTAAGGGTATAGTTTTGATACAGGATATGGATTTAAGATGGGTGGGTGACAGATTTGAAGGACGTATCAGTTATAAGCAATCCAATTTAGAGAGAGACCATGACGCCAGGGGAGATGGAGAGAAATGAGGGATTGTGGGAAGGGGGAGCGGAGAAGTGAGGAGTTTAATTTAAGGGGAAGGCTAATGGCACCCTTATGGCACCCCTATACATCTATGTGATCATTACTTTTTTTGTTTTCTTTTTTGTAATTTTGTCTTTTTGTTGTCTTTTTTCTTTTTATACTAATTTTTTTAATTATCTTATTATAAATATATACTATTACAATTATTATTTTTTATTCTATAATAATTTAATATTAAAAAATATTATATATTTTCTTTTCTCTTT